AATATTTTATCCCACCAACTAATTATGTGTAGGAGGCGTTAAATTCAAAGTCTTGTGAACTTGGAAACATACACGTAATAGATCTGCCTTTTTACAAAATTAGATACGGAATGGTATTAGGCAAATACACTTTTACTCTCCAATTGTTTCATGACATTATTGAAAAACACAGATTGAGAAAATATAGTAATCCCAATTTGGGAAATAAGAATATAAACTTCAGAAGCCTGTTTTTGTTTAAAAATAAAACTGATAAACATGACAAATAATATAATTTTACCTTATAATATTCTCCTTCTTAAATCTAGCAGAAAACCTAAACATATACAAAAAGGCTAAGGAAATAAATTTTACTCCATAAGCCATATATAACCTAGATCTCTTCAAAATTAAACAAGAATAATTTTGTGTGACCTTCCCTAATACTTCATTAACTAAACATGAACGAGGCTTTCTACAGAAATCCAAAAAAATGAAAATTATGTCTTTAAGAATAATAAATCCAGTTGGATGGTAGTTGTGAGAAGAGGGATGATAAAATGGGAGAGAGCCTAGATTCAGAGGATATGTGATACAGCCTAGGTTTTAACCCTTACTTTGTTTCTGATAAACCATTTAAAATTTGTAACTAAGCCTTGGGAATAACATTACCTACCTTACGGGGCTGCTGAGAGAGTAAATCCAGGTAAGATGTAAAAGCATTTTTAAGCTGCAAAATGTAGCACGCATGCTACTAACTGTATACTTATTACTATGTACTTCCTTGCTCTCTTAAACAGAATACACTGAACATAATTTAACCCATGGCCCTAAGTATGAATAGCGATTATTGTGCCAAACTATAATATAGGGACCACTGATAAAGCAGCGCAGGCTAACGGAGCGCTATTGGACTGGCTGTGTTGGTACCTCCTCAGCTCCCGACTTCTTGCTGCTGTGAATATACATCACTACCTATAGGGAAGCTTTCCAGAATAATGTTAGTTGCAATGCTCCCTCCTGCAATTTCCTGCTTCATTGCTCTCAACAAGCATATTTGCCTTTTAGTTTATAGAGGAAAAAAGAACCCACTAAATGAGAGCTCGTCAAGTTTCTGCTACCAAATGAACTGACAAATGAACCAGCTATCATGCCATCCTGTCTTCCCTCCTGGAACAAGAGATAAGCCCCTCCCTTATCTTACCTAAACCTTTCTACCTAGGCTTGAGATCCCATTTCTTTCTGCCTCCTGTCAATTGTTCTCTGTATAACTCCAGTCCCAAGTTTCTCTTGGCTACTTCCCTTAGAATGTAAACATGTTCAAGTTTCTCCTGTCTTCTGAAAGAAAAGCAACTTAACCTCTTACCATACTTCAGCTATACCTTTACTCCATCCTAGAGAAATATCACTAAATGCACTTCTAGGTGAGGCTACCAATGAGGAGGGGGGATGTGGCACATCGCAGACAGCTGGAGAGGTAAAGGTCACTATTAATCAGGTGAGGCAGTGGACAGGGCACTGCAGACCAGAGATAGGAGCAAATGCAAAGGAATATGGTCAAGGACACAACAAAGGGAAAACAAAACTAGTGAACTTCAAGACAGGTTAACAGAAATCATGGAAATTGAAATATAAGCAAACAAACATATAAGAATGGGGGTGGGGGGAGAGCATTCAACAGAGATGTGACAACTGCATACATATGCAATTAGAATCCCAAAAGTAGAAGAAGTGGAAAAACATATGTAAACACATAATGGCTGAAAATATTCCAAAACTAATGAAAGAAAGAAAGACATCAACCAGCCAGTCCAAGAACCTCAGTTAAATATATGGTGGATAAATATAAAAACACAGTTAGGGACCAGCAGCAAGTATAGCAGTTATGTTACTGGACTCCCACATGGCTGACTGCGATCTGAATCCAAATAAGGACACTTGTAAGGGAGAAAAAAAGCCAAAAAGCCTGCTGATCTATTAGGTCATCGGAAAAGTCATTACGTATTTTTCTATGTTTTTATATGCAAAAATACACTATGCCGTTTCAGATAACTCACCAGTATTCTCTGTACTGATTTTCTACGGATAAAGAAAATAGCCTTCAAACAGAAATACAAGAAATGCCATAGACCAAAGGGAGATGATAGAAACATCATAAGGAATAAATATGATACAAACACACATACCTTAAGAAAGTGTGGCTATATTAATATGAAAGTGGACTTTAAGAAAGTAATACTATGAGAAGTGGAAAGGGAAATTTAGAATGATAAAAGGTTCAAATTCATGAAACTACAACAATCTTAAATACATAAGATCCTGGTACCTAATAAAAAAGGTCTGAAGTAAATGAAATAAAGTTCATTGAACTAAACAGAAAACAAATCCACAATCACTGTAAGAGAGTTACTCCTCTCACTCACAAATTAATAGATCAAAAAGACCAATAAGGATATATACTATTTGAACATTATTAACTTGACTGATGAATACTTATGGAATACTATACTCGTTAACAGCAGAATATACATTTTTCTAATGCATACAGAACATTCCCCAAGATTTACTATACACTGGGCCATAAAATAAATCCTGATAAATTTCAAAGGAATATAAACATACCAAGTATATTCTCTGACCACAAAAAAGTTAAGTTAGAAATCCTAACAGAAAGATATTTAAACATTTTCCAGTATACAGAAATTAAATAATATACTTCTTAGGAATTCACAGATTAAAAAATTATCAGAGGAAATCAAAAATATTTCAAATGCTACGAGAAGGAAAACACACATATCAAAATTTGTGGGGTGCAGCTATAATAGTTATTCTGGCTTAGAGATTTATATATAGCTTTACATGGTTCATTAAGAAAAGAAGGTGTATGTTTAATGATGCAAATTTTTACATTAATATCTTAAGGAAATAAAAAGTAAATTATACTCAATGTAAGTGGAATAAAGTATACCATAAAATTAAAAGCAAAAACCAACTGGACAGAAGTAGACAAACAATATAGGAAATCAACAAAGTAAAAATTGGTTCTTGATAAAGATTCATAAAATGAATAAACCTCTAGTGAGGCTGAGTAACAAAAAAATATGAAATACAACTTACCAACATAAAAAATGAAAGGAAATGACATAGCCTACAGGCAATAAAAGGATAATAAGGATACATTATGACAATAATATTAGACATTTTAATGATATGAACAAATTCTTGAAAAATTGCACTAACAAAACATGAGATAGAAAACTTGAATAGCTCTATGTTCTATAAGAAAATTAAATTTGCGTCCAGTCCGTGGTTTGCTGGTTAAGGGAGCTGGACTGCACATGTCTGATTGCATTTGAGTCCTGGACCTGGCAGCGTGGAAAACATGCTGGGCATATTGTATACATACCCAAAATCACAAAAGGATGGTAAAATGGCAAGAAAGGACTGTGGCATGAACATGCCCCATGGGGATGCTTTCTCTTTCTCTCCCTCCCTTTCTTTCTCTCTGATGAGAGTACATGTTCCCTGGCAAATTTTTAAAAAAAGCAAAAAGAAAGAAGTTAAATCTGTAAATACAAAATTTCCCAAAGGATAAACTCCAGGCCCAGGTGACTTCCACAATAAATTCAACTAAACGTTTAAGTAAGAAAAAAAAAAAAAAAGCTTCTTACACAGACTTATTCAGAAAAGAAAGCAAATGGGATCACTTTCCAATTCATCTCACAGGGCCAGCAATGTTATACTAAATGTAGATGTGACTACTACAAGAAAAGAATAGATCAATAAACAGCATTTATCTTGACATAAAAATTCTTAATAAAATAATAGTAACTAGAATCTAGTGATATATGAAAAGCATAGGGGCTAGCAAGAGGTGTCGTGGTTAAGGCGCTAGATTCCCACATGGCTTACTGGAGTTCGAGTCCCGGGCCTGGTGGGTTGAAAATCAGGCTGGGTGCGTATGCAAGTCTGCCCAAAATCTTGTGAGAATGGAAGAGAAGGGACTACGGCATGGTTATCCCCTCGGGGAGTGAGTTCTTTTTCCCTCTTTCTGTCTCTGCTGAGCACATGTGACCTATGGCAAAAACATAAAAAAAAAAAAAAAAAGAAATAAAAGAAAGAGAGAGAGAGAGAGGGGAGAGAAAGAAAAGCATAATAGTTCTTGAAAAGTAATGTTTGTTTATCCTAGGAAGGTGATACACATTTAAAATAAGAAGAAAAATATAATCCACCATATTAACAGAGTGAAAGAGGAAAATTGATAAATGCAAAATTCAATAAATGTAAAAAAGCATCTATTAATGTCAATATCCCTTTATAGTAAAAACTCTTAGCAGAAATAGCACACAGGAAAAATTTCCCTAACCTGATAAAAGGCATCTTTAAAAACATATAGGTATCATTATATTTAGTGGTAAAATAGTGAAGGTTTCCCCCTAAAATGAGGAGCAAGACAAAGTATCTGTTCTGACCACTTAAACGGAACATACTAAAAATACCTAGCTAGTACATTTTTAAAAAAGAATTATTTAATTTATCATTGTGATTTTTTTTTTAATTTGACTAGCGAGAACGAGAGCGAGAGGGAGAGCAAGAGAGAGAGCGAGAGAGAAAGAGAAGAGAGGGAGGGAGAAGGAGAAAGTGAGAAAGCAAGCCATCAAGTATGGGATCTGAACCGTGGTTGGCCATGTGGGAGTCCAGCACCTTAACCACTATGCCATCTGCCAGCCCCGCTAGCTAGTACATTAAGGCAAGAAAAGGAAATAAAAGGTTCATGGACTGGAAGGAAAGAATGACAGCTCTCAGCCTGACTCCGAGCTCTTGCTCTTAAATCAGAATGCTTGCCTCCCTCAAATTAAGCTTGTTGGTTGAACTATTATTGAAACTTTCAATTACATCAAATGACCTTGATTCCTGCCATTGAGATCACATATTTTTTTTAAAACCTATAAAACTGGTCACATTTAAAAACTGATTTCCTTCCTGTCCCCATGATTTAAAACCTGAAAGGGAGGACTTACCATTAATATGAGTCTTTGATACTTCTGTTTTAGGTCTGACACATTTGCAGATGGGTCTGCCCCAAGAATGCTGTACCAATCCTTTGGATTCTGCTCAAATGCCATCATCCTTTGAATGTAAAGGGGGGGAGGGTGTCTTCTCAGATCAGCTGAATAGAAATATTAATGGCAGTTAATTACAGGCTCCATGTGTCTAAGAATAATCACGTACCACTTTTCCAAGTTATTAGTTGAGTGAATTGTGGTCATAATGTAGTTGAGGTAGCATGAATTTTCATTTAAAATGTCCAAGAATTCTATGTATAAATATACAGGCAATTACGGAAAACTTGTTAGCTACTTCATTATACATGCTTATATCTGAGTGAATATACAAAAGCACAAAAAAGGGCATTTGATAATGAACCTGTGATAATGAATCTGTGCTCCTAAGAAGGTATTTTTGTTCAAATCAACATTGGAGAAAACATTCACTAAACATGCTAGAAGGGCTTAATAAATGTCCAAAACAATGGGACCTACCGTGGGTGGGGTGGCACCTCGCTGGTGGTGCTCACCTCTCATCAGCCAGAGACAAAGTAACGCCCTGTTCACCCCAGACCCAACCAGGTTTGTGCCTCGGACACATGAAAAAGGAAAAACAAAAACAAAACAGTCCCAAACAAAACATCAAAGAGCTAAAATTAATTTGGGGGCATTCCTTTTGAAATGTTCGAGTTCATTTCCTGTCTTCCAGATTACCCGGAAAAGCTAACACCAGGATACTTTAAAAGTCTGTGGACTAGTGGACTTAAAGTGAGAGTTTATTTTGCTGCAAAAATAATAATAATAATAAATAAATAAATCCACCCATGGTTTATTCATGTGACACATTTTCCAGGAACTTCACGAAAAACTATCCGAAGCAACAGCCGGCAGGCAGAGAGCAAGGCTCCGGTTTTTGGAGAGGCGCTCAGATGACTCAAGGGGCAAGTGGCTAAAACTGTCCCGGCAGTCTTCCAAGCCACCGGGGAGCCCCACCGGGAGCCCTAGCAGCCAGGCGACCTCTCCCCACAGCTACACGTCCAACGACAGTCCGGGCCTCCTAGCAAGTCGGAGTTCGGAAACCGCCGCACCCGACGTCGACTCAGCCCGCCCAGCCACCAGCGAGGACCCTCCGGGACCCAAAGGCCCCCAGACTCACCGGAATTCCCATGGCCGGCGGCGCCCACTTCCTGCCTGCCTTCGCCCCAGTTTGGATCCGGTTTCTCTTTCCGCCGGAAGTCACTGCTCCGACTTGCCTACGTTTCTAGCCGAGCCCTTGTGGTTGACGCACCTACCGGAAGAGTCGCTCCTCCCACAGCGACGCGGTCGCTATGGTAACCAGTCAGCGCCTGCTCCGAGCTGACCAGCAGTAAGTGCGGAGCTGAGGAGACGCGGCCGGGCTTTGCCCCCCCCTTTTGGCCCCGGCCTCTGCGCCCCTCGGCGCCTCGCCGTCGCCCACCCGGACTCCCATGCGGCGCTGCCCCCCGGCCTTTGGCTGTGGTTTGTGCAGGGAGTAGAAATGAGATCGAGTCCGCCCTCGTCCGAAAGCTGCGAGTTCCAGATCGGTGCCAACAGGGTCGGGTTTTAGAGACTTCTTCTTCTAAGTAGTACTTTTAGACCCTAGCCCCGACTTAAAGACAAAAACGTGAGAAAACGTTTCCGCACTCTCGCTTGGCTTCATTTTAGTTCGCGAGACTCACGCAGTGTCCCTCCCACCTCGCAGGGACGACGCCAGCGGGCAGGGCCTGGCGCGGTGGCGGCCCCGGGAGCGCGACGGCGAGGGCGAGGGCGAGGACGAGGGCGAGGCTGGCAGCTGCTTGCCCCTCTCCTTTCCCCACCTCTGCGTCCCCTTTACCACTTCTCTGCCGCTCCGGTGCCCGCGTCCTGTCTCCTTGCGTTGCGCCCAGAAGTGAAACATCCTGATTTTTCACCGGGCTCCAGGGGAGAGGTTGTTACTGCTTAGAGCTCTTTCCTTGCGCTCGTTCTCTCTCGTCTCTAGATTTACTCGACACCCTTTCCTTCTGTTTTCATGGCCAGCGAGCCAGTGGGTCTCCAGAGGACAGGAAGGAGAGGAGAGAGCGCGCCCAGCCGGGTGTGGTCAGCGCAGTCCCTTCTTTCCACCCCGCGCGGGCTGGGGACACCTGCAGACCTGCCTGTGTGTGTCTCAGGCTCAGGCCCAGGCCCAGCAGTCCAAACGGCCACAGTCAGCCATGGGGGTCTGGCTCCCTTAACTGCAGGCCGTGGGGCTGGCCACCTTCGTTTATCTTCTACCAAATCTGTTGGAGAAGCAGTTAAGATAGACTTAAGGAGAATGAGTAAAATATTCCAACATCTTAATTACATAATGATGGTATGATCTATAAAGAAAAACTGAATATACAGGCAAATTAAAAAATCTGAAGATAAAAGTGTGTATTCAGTTCTCCACAGGGTTTTGTCATATTTAAAGGCAGGCCGGAAGAGTGTTATGCTGCTCGTAGTGCACCTGGCTTTCATCCTCACTCTGACAGTCCTCCCTGGTCCTATGGAAATACCCAAAGCCACCAAACTCGATGTTGTGAATTCCTTCTTGGAACATCCCCTGCCCTCCAACTCCCCTAAAACTGCTTAGTCCATCCTTATATGAAAAACATCAGGACAAGGACCAGCAGATGACTAGACTTCCACATGGCCCAGTATGATTTGGCCCAGACTCAGTGGCTTGAAAATCATGCTGAATGTGCATGCCCCAAATCCCAGGAAGATAATGGAAGAGGAGATGGGATTGCAGCATGGCCATCCCTCCTGAGGGGTGATTTCTCACTTTCCATCTCTCTGTCTCTCTCCAGTGAGCACATGTGCCCTATGGCAAAAACCTTAAAAAAAAAAAAAAAAGTCATGGTAAATGTGGACTATGAAAAAAGTGTGCATAAATTCCAAACTTTATGTACCCAATAAATTCATACTTTAATTTCATTTTTCCACATACTTTTTGAAGCTGCCACATGATTTGGTCAGGTACTCTGGTTTTTACAGCAAAAGCACTTTATTTTGGTTACTATTCCAATAAATTACAATTTTTTAATTTGAGTTTGAAAAGTAAGAAATACACTTTTTTCCTCAGCAAATCCCAAATATTTTGTCATTTTATTTCTAAATACTTTAGTTTGCATCTCTAAAGCATCCCAACTTTCTCTTTTTATTCCTTAATGTCATTATTTTACCAAAAATATCAATAACTAATTGATGTAATCCCAAATCTAGACCTTCATTAAATTTTCCCAGTTTTTTAAAAAATGTCTGTTTATGGTTGGTTTGCTTGAATTGAGATCCAAGGACAGTTTACATGTTGCATTGATTGTTCTGTCTCTTAAACTTCTTTCAAACTATAGCAGTCTTCTTTCCTACAAGCTTGATGTTTTTTCTTTTATTCCCATTGGCATAAAAGAAAAACCACATCAATTGTCTTATGATCTAAATCTGCTTGTCTGTTTATACCATAATAATGTATTGAGGCAGTTTTCACATAAATCCCTACCCATTACTTTTCTTTCCTTTGTCATTTTATGGAGTAGTACTGCCTACTACAAATACAATGTTAGCCATAAGTACAAGCCGCATACATCATGTTTTCATTTTCCAGTAGCCAGTTGGAAAGCATAAAAAGAAACAGGTGTAATCTATTTTTATGAGATAGTTAGGGTCTGACCCTTACTAGCTGTGTGAACTTGTTAAGGTTAATAACTTATAGGGGGCCAGCCTGTGGTATGATTAAACCAGCTGGAACTCAACATGCCTGATTGCAGTTTGTTTTTGTTTTTGTTTTTTTTTGGAGAGATTTTCGCTATAGGGCGCATGCACTCGCCAGAGAGACATAGAGACAGAAAGCGAGAAATCACCCCCCAGGGGGGATGGTCACGCCACAATCCCTTCTCCTCCATTCTCCTCTCAGGATCTTGGGCATGCACGCACACGCGCTTGGCGTGAGTTTTAAGCCACCGGGTACGGGACGCGAACTGCCATCAACTACATGGGAGTCCAGCGACATAGCCATTACGCTAACTGCTGGTTCCCAACATGCCTGACTGCAGTTTGAGCCTGGACCCGGGTGGCTTGAGAAACACACCAAATGTATGTGTATGTTCCCAAACTCCTGAGAGAGAGGAGAGAAGAGAAGGGATTGCAGCATGACCATGGCGCTCAGGGGGTGTGTTCTTGCTTTCTCTCTCTGGCAAGTGCATATATGCCTTCTGGCAGTGAAGAACTTGTAGCTACACCAACAGAATAGACTAGACTATTTGAATGCTCAAAATTCTTGAACCAGCTAATCCAGGACGATGTATGGAAGTGTTCAATTTTAAATAGTGCCTTGAAGGAGAGGAGAGATGAATGGATGGAATCCGAGAAACTTCTTCTTATTTAACAGATTATCATAAAGCTTTTCATATATTGAAAATCAACTCTCATGAACAATTCTACCTCATCTTTATTTTATTTTTTTAGAGATTTTCGCTATAGGGTGCGTGCACTCGCCAGACAGACAGAGACAGACATAGAGAAAGTGAGAAATCACCCCCCGGGGGGATGGTCACACCGCAATCCCTTCTCCATTCTCCTCTCGGGATCTTGGGCACGCCCACACATGCGCCCAGCGTGAGTTTTTAGCCACCGGGTCCAGGACGCGAACCGCAGTCGACGACGTGGGAGTCCAGCGACCTAGCCATTACGCTAACTGCTTGTTCCCTCTACCTCATCTTTTGGACATGGTGTTGGTCTCTTTATTTTTCCTCCCCTTCGTTGGTTGTCTTAGCTTGGTCTTTTCTCTCCTTTGTCTTATCAGAAGTACTCATCCTTAGTGAACATTGACCGAGTTTTTACAAGGCAGTGCACTAAGCAGGAGAGAGACAGGTGAATACCTTGTGTAGGCGCCACGCCTGTTGCTGTGTTTTTCTTGTTTGTTTTGACTTCAGTTGCATCAGTGTGTTTTCATACTGGTTTCAGAACATTTGAAGGTATTCATCTTCTCTGGGTCTTTGTTCCCATTTTCCTATCTTCTTATATCTGATGTTTCAGTCATTCCATGAATCTATTAAAGGTACTGCACATGATTCATCTTCTGTTTTTCTTTAGGAATCATAGTCTATACCAACTGCTTATTTCCTGCATTCATTTCTTTGTTCCTTTTCTCCATATTCTGATGAGCACTCTGGCTTTTCTGTGCACTTTCCTGTTACCCTGAAATGTGTGATCTCTCTCAGTCATGTGGAGATATGCACTTATATACTCTTTTTAAAACAATATACCCTCTGCTTTTTAGTTTTTTAAACCTGAATTTTTTTAAATGTTATTTTTGTCATATAATCGACTCACTGAAGAAAGGTTCATCTGAATGATCAAGGGGTGTTAATTTGTGGGTTAAAATGTGTTAAACAGTTGATATGAAGTCTGTTTTAGTCAATTAGAGAGTATAATGAAGATGTTTCCAGGGTGTTATGGAACGTTTTGAAGTTAGCTTGGAATTTGCCAGTGTTTGTTAACCATTGCACCTGGCTAAACATGCTCTCACATTCAGGTTTTTGAACTTGTGTTAATTCTAAAAGATATGAGTGGGTCTACATAGTTAGAAGAAGTTTATTTATACTACCGTTATCTTTTGTGATAGGAAATTAGATCGATGATTTAGTAAAATGGAAAAACATAATACCAGCATCCTTTGTTACTCATATTTTTCTAAAGTCAAATGCAACTTCACTACATAACCAACACAAAGGTTTCTGGGTTTTGTTTATTTGCATCCTTGTTTTCAAAACAAGATTAGTGTCACTATTATAGCTTTTTAATACTAAAGGTAGAATTTATATAAGATAAAATTTACTATGGTCATTTAAAGACATAATTTGCTTTCTCCACTAAAATTACTTGAAGTAATATTAAAAGACATTTTAGTGTTGGTTACTATCTTCAAAAATTCAGGAGAGTTAAAGTTATCATGAGGAATTTAATGTTGTTATGCTCAATTTTGATCAATGAATACAATTTTTATATGATGATATCATTATTTAAGATAAATAAAACATTATAAATGTAATAGGTCAAATCCACAAGAGATATGGGGGTGAAAAGAATCACATTTTAAAATACATTTTTCACTTAGCATTAGGGTTACTATACTAGTATTTCTTATTCCTGGTGTCAGTTTACTAGTAATAAACACATTTACCATTTTAGCTTCTCCTTGCAACCATTCAGTTTAATTGTTTAGAAAGAAATGGAAAACAAGTCTTGTGTGCTGAAGGGATTTCCGCCATGATGGATTAAATGCCAGAATAATGAAACTACACAGCTTAAAAAATATACAAGAGAATGAATGTTTTCTGATGAATGTCCTCTAAAATATCATATTTTAAAAGCATTTTAAGTAATTCATAGTATTACTTTCTAATCTACTTGTAGAAGCTCTCTCAGTCTAGTCTTTTGTTGCTCATTAGCAATTTCTTTAATGAGTTTTTTTGGTGTGATAGATAGTTAAAGTAACAGACAAATGACAGATTGTTTGCCTTTAATGATTTCCCTGTTTCAAGCCCATTACAAAGCAAT